GTAGGGAGGACATTAGCTAATGAAAATTAGAATATGTAGATAATAAATTTTCTTTAAGAGCGTTAATTAATTAACCAATGACAGTATGAGTAAGTATACGATCATTAATATATTCAATAATCAATGAATAAGTCACGTAAGATTGAGGTTTGACTAATTAATTATGACATGGGGTACCATTTCCCTCTACCAATAATATCAACGTATGTGTTGTTTTGGTAAGTTCTAACGGTACAGTCTGAACAACTTGTACAATTTGTCAAGATTAATAGTTGGCAAATGAACTAAAAAATTAGGACCCTATGGGAGTCGTTAGGGTAAGATACGGTAGATTAAGATGGAATATGATAGGTGAAGTAGAGCAACTTGCTCATCGGTTCGCACCCACGGTGAGCATAAGATGCGAGCAGAATAACAAATTTCTCATACGAGCTGCTCATCAGCTTACAAGTCGAGTTATCATAGTGGAATGAAAATGAAATTTAAATAATCATAATTTTTTTTTTTTGTGATAAAACGCGAGCCATACTTCGTTGAAGCGAGCTGGCTCATGTGATGGGCCGATAACACCCCTAGGGTCAGAGTGGGTGGATTAATGAGTTATGATCGCTCGACTCTATTCATTTAACGCCCTGAATAGGGATGGCTGGGTTAGTGATCCAACCTCCATTCATTTGGCCCCTACCCAATTCTTTCAAACATAGAGAAATCTGATCCCTATTCACTTTAGAGTAATATTGTTTTGACCTTTTGAACTAGAAAATTGAAGAATCTTTGTACCTAATTACATGTTAGATGAGTGAATAGTGAAGAACCACATGGGGTTTACTGACCTAGCTAGGATTCCCAACTGAACTTGAAGGGAATTTTTAATTTATTTGGTAAACTTGTTAAGATACAGAAGTATAATCACACTCCATGTGAAAATAGCTCGAGGGTGAAAGTAGATTGAGTAATTCTAAAAATCAAAGGTTGAGAGCAAGAAAGGTAAGGAAAAGCCATTCTCGAGCCATCATAACGATTGATACTGTTAATTGACTTGAACTAAATCGAAATATATATAGGCATAAAACAGCCCTATGCGTCGATAAAATTAGTTTCCCAAATGATACTTCCTCTTCATTATTTAAGCAGCTAGAGACTGGGAGTTTTTGACGACCTCCAAGCTTGCACCTACTAAAGTCTGGTTAAACATACCAAAATCTCGAAAACTTGAACCACCAAAACACCCTAGGGGACAAATATGATCCCAATTTAGCCAAGAAATCTCTCTCAATTCTTCGTCCTCCAATAAAACCTGAACATCAATGAACAAATGTTATGATGGAGTTTCAAGTACCTGAAAAGTTCTCATGAGAATAGTTGGGATGACGTGGGAGAAGGATTCAATCTAAATTTCTTACCCACTAACTGAAAACGATCCCAATGCCAACCTCGGATTCTTTTCTAGATTTTTCCTTTATCCCTGTGGAGTTTGGCGTTTATTACTTGCTAAATACATTTTTACACACTTATTGTAGGCCCAAACATGGATAATTATTAATAAATATATGGAATATAACTTAATTCGATATAATTTGTATTTTATAGGATAACAATAATGAACATGGTGAAAATTCGGAAAAATAGCGAAAAACGACTAAAATGAAGCACAATCAAAGTTTGAAGACTCAAGTGCAATTACTGAAGAGTAGTGTCAATCTCACGATAAAGATTTGAGAGTTCTGGGTATCAATTGGATGAAGCAAGAAGCCAAATGGATGAAATATAGTGTAATTGCTATCACATATCAACTTCTAACCGAAAAAATTATGTTTTGAATTTTCAGTCTTAGTTTGAGACCCATTTTTGGAATAGAAGATATTCGAATTTGAAGATTTATATTTTCTTGACGATTTGTAGCACTTTGAATAATCTTTCCAACGCAATTTAAATCACCTCAATCAAATATCGGGAGAAAAAGATATAACTAAAATATTGAAAACTTTCCGGTGGGAAAGTCACTCTACCATGCGGCCGCATGGTAGAAACTACCATGCGTCGTTTCTACCATGCGGCCGCACACATGCAATCAGGCAATCAGAGGAGGGAATTTTTTTATTCCATGCGACTGCATGGAATACTACCATGCGGCCACATGGTTGTCTTCCTGCGCGAGAAATTTTTGATTTCCTTCTTCAATTCAAACACATTTGGAAACAAATCTTGGGGTGTTACTTAAGCCCTAAAGTCGTCCTCAAACATTAGGCAGACTTGGGAGGAGAATTTTGAAGCATTTGAGAGAGAAATCAAGGTACAAACAAGGAGAATAACATCACGATGCGAAAAATCAATTCAAGAATTTAAATTAGTAATGTCGTTCTTTATTAAATTTTCTGATTTATTTTCTTCTATCATGTTAGGCTAGATTTATATGTTCTAGGTGAACGATGAACCTTGTGATGTGATATTTTAATTCCTAGTTTTACTTTTTTAACATTAAAACGCGTTTTGAATTATTGAATGATTTATATACATTGATTTTTCTCTATAATTATATGCGCAATAGTTGTATGAGTGCGGTAGCTTATTTTATGCATTCGAAAGAAAGGAAATAAACTCGACAGGGTATAAATCATCGTAAGGTCCGATAGATGATATTAATATACCGTTGTGCTCTACGTGAATCTTTAAGTGTTTACAAAACGTCATGTATTCTTGTATATTGCATTTTTCATAGATATATAATCAAATGGTATGCGAGAATAGGTTCAATTCTACTCGAGAGAGATTATTGAATAGGTTAGAAACATTGATTCTTCATCAATTCAAGCGTGTTGTCAATTTTGTAGAACTAGAGTTAAAATGGATCATTGCATGAGAATTCGCGAACCTAACGCGTTTATTTTCTATTAGTTACTTTAATTTGCATTCAATCATATAATTTGCATTTAGTTTAATTAATTCATCGATTATTGCTTTCATTTAGTTTAGCTACAACTTAGTTACAAAACTCAACCATATTTCACGTTTCGGTTAAGGTTAGAATATG